CCGTGATCGATCGGGATCACCCTATCTCAAATATGTCCGAATCGTAGACTTATAAGATAGACGGAGCATTCGTACGAGAGAAGCTGAAGACGCGATAGAAAGAGAAAGAAACAGTCGCGAAGTAGTTCTCTTCTTTTCTAGTAGTGATTGGTCGCCGCGGCAGGCCTGGAAGTGGCCGAGAACAATAAAGATAGACGTTCGAGAGTTGTGGCCTTACGCTCAAGCTAATTGGTCCCCCACCGTTCATTGTGAAAAAGGGAAACAACTATGTCTGGAGTAGAGCTGTCCTTCAATGTTGTCTTCAGCTCCTCTAGTATGAATGCTCCGTCTATCTTATAACAGCGTTTTCCACTGGGAAAACTGGTGCAACATAGCGCCGTGCTAGCTAGGTTTAGATGAAAACTGCACTAGTGCAGTGATAATGAAGGTTTAGTGCGGTTCAATGGAACGTATCATTAGACATCCATTTTATTCACCCCTAAAAATATATATAATATATAACTATATTCAAACTTATATTACTTATTTTACAATATTTTGATTTATTTATTTATTTAAAACATTTTTTTAATTAAATTTTTACATTTAAAGAATTTTAAATGTCAAAATGTCATTGCATAGCTATTATTAAAAATATTGAAACTAAACAATGTAATTGTTATAATATTAATTACAATAATGCAATAACATAAGGCGTCGTCTACAATACACGGAGTAAAAAGTAAGAGTAAGAAATTGACCAATCACAGTCGAATGTGAGAAGAATAATCGACTGTGATTGGTCAATTTCTTACTCTTGCTTTTTACTCCGTGTATTGTAGACGACGCCTAAGGGAATCAACCAATCGAAATTCTTCTTTTCCATGGAATGGGAGGAAAGAAAAGATTCTGATTAGTTGATTCGCCTATGCACTATGCGTTATGCAAAAGTCTGTGCTGTGGCCTTAAGTCGGCTGAGAAGACAAGTGACAAGTGATTTTTGGAACAAATAAGGTTAAGTCGTGCCGACATTGTTTCTTTTACTAAATAAAGGTATATTTAATATCTGCGAAACATTTGTTCCTCTACTGTCAGTCATGACACTCACAAATAAGGTAAGGAAAATGTTTAATATTTTTATCACTACGCCAGCGACTGGAAATATTTTACTTATCTGTAACTGAACATTCTGAAATTTTTCAGATGGATATCGACGAGAAGAATGCTAAAGGTGAAGGCTTTAAACCGTATTACATTACGAAAATTGAGGAATTACAATTAATTGTTGCTGAAAAGAGTCAAAATTTAAGGAGATTGCAAGCGCAGCGTAATGAACTCAACGCGAAAGGTGACTATTTTGCTTTGATGATACAAATGTAATTGCTGTATGAAGCTATGAAAGCTTGCTAATATAGCTCTTTGATTTATGAAATCTTAAGATTGTATTTAAGATCCTAAATATAAGAATGACTATGAATACTGGCCATATTCTCTTAATTATACAAGACAACTTCTTTAATTGTTTTTTTTTAGTACGCATGCTACGGGAAGAATTACAACTCCTACAAGAACAGGGTTCCTATGTAGGAGAAGTAGTTAAACCCATGGATAAGAAGAAAGTCTTAGTCAAAGTACATCCAGAAGGCAAATTTGTAGTGGATATAGACAAGAACATCGATATCAATGATGTGACTCCAAACTCGCGTGTCGCTCTGCGCAATGAAAGTTATACTCTGCATAAAATACTACCGAATAAAGTCGATCCGCTCGTCTCTCTTATGATGGTAGAGAAAGTGCCGGATTCTACATATGAAATGGTTGGAGGTTTAGATAAACAGATAAAGGAGATAAAAGAGGTCATAGAATTGCCTGTCAAACATCCAGAATTGTTTGACGCTCTTGGAATCGCGCAGCCTAAAGGTGTACTGCTATATGGACCACCAGGTAATAAATTTATTTTAGATTTTTTTTTAGAGAGAGAGGGGGAGAGAGAGAGAGAGAGAGAGAGCTGAACTTGCATAGTTTATCTTTCCTCTTGCTCTCTAGCGTGAAAAGGAAAAGAGGAAAGAGATAAACTGTTCAAAAAGTTTAACTAAAAAGAACAGTATTATAATGTATATATATGAAATTTTTATATTTTATTACAATTATTTTAGTTGTCTATCATAATCTTTGATAATGACAATGCAAAATTTTTCAGGTACCGGCAAGACTTTACTTGCAAGAGCAGTCGCGCATCATACAGAGTGCACCTTCATTCGTGTATCTGGATCTGAATTAGTTCAAAAGTTTATTGGAGAAGGTTCGCGTATGGTTCGTGAGCTTTTCGTCATGGCAAGAGAACACGCACCGTCTATAATATTCATGGATGAAATCGATTCCATTGGAAGTTCCCGGATTGAATCTGGATCTGGTGGTGATAGTGAAGTATGTATGAAATATGGTATGAATATAACTAATTTTAATCTTTTTAATTATATATCGTAAATTATATTTTCAGGTACAACGTACCATGTTAGAATTGCTTAATCAATTAGATGGTTTTGAAGCAACGAAAAACATAAAGGTTATTATGGCTACAAACAGAATTGATATCTTAGACCCAGCATTATTGCGACCCGGACGTATCGATCGTAAGATAGAATTTCCACCTCCAAATGAAGAGGCTAGATTGGATATCTTAAAGATTCATTCTAGAAAAATGAATTTGACACGTGGTATAAATCTTAGAAAGATAGCTGAACTTATGCCAGGTGCATCAGGAGCAGAAGTCAAGGTAATGAAAAATAAGGATATATATATATATATCTTTATATTACGGTTTCATCATATAATTATCATAAAATAAATATCAAATGAAATCTGATTCTCTGCTCTTAACAAACTATTTTACTCCAAAAATTTAAGCCTTATAAGAAAGAATACAGATTAAAATATAAGGATCTTGTGTTATTCCTCTACCTTAAATTTTAATAGAGAATTTTAGAGAATTATTCTCATGTTTCATTTTTATAATAAAAAAATCGAAATTTATCAAATTTTTTATATGCAATTACTTTATATTTTACACAATGCGAATAATATATATTGTTTATATTATAGGGTGTTTGTACAGAAGCTGGAATGTATGCTCTTAGAGAACGCCGAGTTCACGTAACTCAAGAAGATTTTGAGATGGCTGTAGCAAAGGTGATGCAAAAGGATTCTGAGAAGAACATGTCGATCAAGAAATTATGGAAATAATCAACTTTACAATTTTTTCAAAGTCATACTAATAATATATTATTGTACTCTCTTTCATAAGCAAATTTTAACCAAATAGCAATGTATTTAACATATACAAACACAAAAAATTTCATTCATTAGATTAAAGAACAATAAAACTTTATTACTGTATTAAAACAATGAATTTTATTATATGAAAGTATTATCAATTACGGTATTAAAAATGCTATACCATTATTAAATAATAATTTAATTTAAAACAAATTCTTATACATATCTTATGTGAGTAATAGCAATGCCGCTTTTTAACAATTTTTTAATAATCGTCTATTGTTCTACAGTGAATTGTTTCATTGCAGTATTTCCTTATAAAATATAAGCATTTGTCCGCTGAAAATCTGACAATTATATACCTGTGTATAACATTAATGGAAATATAATGAAACCATCAACCATGTGTTTTAATCTAAACATATATAAAATAAATAGTTTTCTGTGATACCCCTTGAATCTGAACATATAAAGAAATTTATAGAAATTCAAGTAAAATCTGCTGCAAAGGATTACCGATTGCTCTGTCAATAATATTGATTATGCAATCAATAATACTCCCATTTAATTTCCAAAATATTGACACGCAATTAACTTTAGCAAACTGCTTCGTAAAGATTAGCCCCGAGTGTTTTAAGATCATTATTGAATATCAGACACTGAAGCCAATTCTCTGCTATATCGTCCGAAATTGGATTATTTGGAACTTGTCCATTCACGATAGGGATAATTTTGGCTAAAGCAATAGTGGTTTTGTTAACATCTACAAATCCACTGAAATCACTTGTGGTTTCTCTCCTTGTTAAAATTGAATTACCAGCATTTGATTCTCCTGAAAACGATGCTTTGTTCTGTACACTGTTAGTTTTGGAAGGTTCACTGAAGTATGCAGATATACGATCCATTAATAAAACAAATCCAGTTCTGATATTTTTCTGCATTAAATCCTGTACTTCTTCGCTCTCTGATACGTCTAGCATCTGATCCCTTAGCTTTGAATAGACAGATGTATCACTGTTTTCAATGTCATGTTGTAATGTGTAGTAAGTGAAATTTTTTACAGGGTCTTTTGAGCTGTCCGCAGATACAGAAGATGTAATTGCCCAATAAATTTTTTCTAACTCTCTTAACGTTAATTGCTCCGTTAGAGACATTGAAGCTGTGACTTCACTAACTTTATTTTGTATGAAATTGCTCAAATCTTTAATGCCTTCATCTATAAAATATTTGGAAAGAGCCATGTATCTCTTTTGTACTTCTTTGCCAATAATTCCATTGTCCACATTGTTCGTATTCTGTGCGTGTTTGTACATATGTCCGCTAATCAAATTGAGCTGAATTCTAAGAAATGTAACTAGCATCGTATAAGAATAAATTATTACGGCCGGACGAGCAATTGCTAATACCTTCAATTGAACCCAAGATGTTATCTTATCAGCAGAGCCATCTTTAAGTTGTTTTATAATGACTTCTGTATCATTTTCTTTGACCACAGAGTTTCTCAAAGTAACCACAAGGCTCGATATCATTTGATTACATGATCTCTCTGTGCTCTCATAGTATTGTCGTTTCTTTGTCCTTTCCATCAACATTCTTATTTCATTTTCTTGCCACTCTCGCAGCTTACGCTGTGTGTAACGTGTCAAAAAGATGACGCTACTAATAATGACACTCCCAAATAAGAACTTACGCCTGTGGCGACTTAAAAATCCTCGAATACTTGAAAACATGTCTAATCGTTTATGTAGATCTAATACACGTACAAGTATATTACAGAGTTTTTAAAATATATGCATGACAAACTTTGACACATAATCCTTAGGAATCTTCACTCCATGTTATCTGACTCGGACTGCATACTTGAGGCAACTCGTTCTATTCTGTTTGTAATATAATTAGTAGTATCAATGAATCTCTCCACGCAATTCACGAGACACTTATGAACTTTAGGCTCCAGGCGCAATGATGGCTTATCCATACAAATCTCCCAGCAGAGACCAGTTAATTCATGTACCAATCCCTAAAAATATCATCTGGTTATATAATTCATTTATCGCTGCACAGTCATAGTATAAAGCGGATAATAATAATTTAAAGAAAATAATGAAGATAAAATAAATAATTACATTTACATTCTCAAGTATATGAATAGATTTGAGATTGAATAAAATAAAGTTGCACATGACAAAAATATTACTAATAAATATTTATATATTAATACCCATATTTTTTATATTACGAAGTACAAAGTATAAATAGAAAATATCAATAAATTTATTTACGCGACTGATCAAGAAACTAACCTGGAACTGTTGCTTTTTCGTCTCAGCCTCGATAAAATGCTGTAACTGATCATCTAGAACCTGCGTGTTCTGATTTTCCATAAGACTCATACTTCGAATCTTCGCGTTTCTATATCTATATGCATTAATGCAAATTATTGACCTCTTATAAAATATATATGTACCTTTATTAGTAATGCAAGATGCAATGTAATGATACTCAGAAGTTTCTGAACCGGTTTATGGGGTATCTTTCACCAACCAATTAACGCTAATCGATGGATAACGCAATAGGGACTAGGGAGTTCATGGCAGTGTTGTTAGGG